CATCCCCTTTATTTATTCCTGTCTCCCATTTATACACCTCAATCATATCCCCCCTAATTCTACGTCTTTCTAGAGAGTGCAGATTCAGGGCCCTTAGTCTATCCTCACAGGGAAGGTTTCTGATACATGGGATCAACTTTGTCATCCTCCTTTGTACATTTTCCAGAGCATTTATATCCATTCTGTAATACGGTGACCAAAACTGTGCAGCATAATCTAAATGAGGCCTAACCAAGGATAGAAGCAGAAGAGACGCGAAAACGATGTAATCAATCCATCACCCTTGAAGTTTTGAGGTGGTCAGTCCCTCAGTCTGGAGAAGAGTATTGTTCCATAGTCTGAAACAATATGGAGTTGAAGTGACAGGATGGAGCCTTATATACCACCAGGAGGTGAGATGTAGGCCACTAGTAGAGGTAAGAATGTACATAAGTGTCTTTTTCCACGTCCCTCTCAAATCCAGCCATTCTCACTAGTAGAAGTTGTCCAAGTAGGTTTCAGTTCTGTACCAAGATACTCTTGTGTTGCAGTGTCTGACAGAGTGAATATTAAAATGGTATAAAATACCGACAGGTTGTTAGGTAAGAACTGAAACCTACTTGGACAACTTCTACTAGTGAGAATGGCTGGATTTGAGAGGGACGTGGAAAAAGACACTTATGTACATTCTTACCTCTACTAGTGGCCTACATCTCACCTCCTGGTGGTATATAAGGCTCCATCCTGTCACTTCAACTCCATATTGTTTCAGACTATGGAACAATACTCTTCTCCAGACTGAGGGACTGACCACCTCAAAACTTCAAGGGTGATGGACTGATTACAACGTCTTCAAGTCTCTTCTGCTTCTATCAACTTTTCTGTACTCGACTGAAGAAGCCTACTGTGTAGGCGAAACGTTTCGAAATAAAGATACCTAACTGTTGCATATGTGTCTTACCTAACAACCTGTCGGTATTTTATACCATTTTAATATTCACCACAGGTACTCATCAAACCCAGTCCTTTTCCCTCACATATTTGACCAATCTTTTTTTAAAGTTACCCAAGGTCTTAGCCCACTCTTCTCTCTGACCTTTACTGGAGAGTTGCCTACACTACTTTCGTGCACCCCTGATTTATGCATACTTTAATCAGCCTTTCTTGCTCCAACAGTTGCATGTGAAAACAATGTATCAACGGCCCCTTCCTACACTCTCTGAAATAGAGTATACCTTCCATGCCACCACTCTATCTTACAGTTTCTTCCAGCTACCACACTATCCTACAATTTCTTTCATGCCACGACTACACTATCTGAATGTTATACACTATCCGTATATAATATTCACACCACACGCTCAATTCAAAGATGACATCTCCCACTGCCTCCAGCTTCCTCGCCGCAGACAGCATCAACATACCCCTTACCTCACACGAGGCCTGGTCATGGACCGGGCCGCGGGGGAAGCCTTGATTCCCGGAACACCCTCCAGGTATGGTATAAACCTTGGTAATAAACACCGACAAGTTGGTTTAGAAAGACACGTAAGCAAACACTATGACATTTATTAGAAAATGTTTCGGTCCTGGGACCTTGATCAAGGTCCCAGGACCGAAAAGTTTTCTAATAAATATGTCATAGCGTTTGCTTACGTGTCTTTCTAAACCACCTTCCAGGTATACTCCAGGTATACACCCATACACACAAGTGAACACTACGATCTCATATATCCCCTTCTTTGTATATCCAGTGAGAGATTTCGTGCGGCTTCCAGAGATTCCAAAACCGCCGCGTCATCAGCAAACAGCAGCATTGTTTTGTGGAGAGGAAAGCTCTAAACCCGTGTGGGTCGTGTAGCAAAGATACAAGTACGCAAAATTCAGCTTTATTTATTTGACGCCTTGACTTGAGAAAGCTTTACACACTTGTGTCTGTACAAAGACATAATTGTGTTTGTAAACAAGTACCCTGTGTCTGTACGAAGAGTACGTATTAACCTATATACTTATGAATGTACACAGACATGCGTCTGTACACGTGCTTGTACAGAGATATTTGTGTCTGTACAAGGAGTACATATTTACTGAATTTATTATATAAAGGGGAGAGATGCTGTTAGAGTGCACCAGTAAGGCATCCCGAGTGCACTCTAAAGAGCATCACAGTGCACTCTGAGGAGCACCACAGTGCACTCTGAAGAGCATCACAGTGCACTCTGAAGAGCATCACAGTGCACTCTGAGAAGCACCACAGTGCACTCTGAAGAGCATCACAGTGCACTCTGAGAAGCACCACAGTGCACTCTGAAGAGCATCACAGTGCACTCTGAGGTGCACCACTGACATGATTGGAAAAAAAAGAAAATACACATCTAGAGAGAGAAAAAGAAATTGATTAAATGTCAATTTCAAGCCAATCAGAAATCTGGAAAACTACAAGCAATAATCCAATCAGGAACTGGAAAACTACAAGCAATAATCCAATCAGGAACTGGAAAACTACAAGCAATAATCCTCCGCTAATCATAACGCCGGAAAAAAATGAAAGCAATACGTCTCGACCAATCAGGAAGAGGAAACTGTATCCTGTTTGAGTTTCGTATTAATTAAGAACCTTCAAAGGTGACCTTTAAATTTACTCACTAATTGGTAAGACCAGTCAGAGGAAGACCATTTAGTAAGACCAGTCAGTGGGAAAACCAGAGGGAAGACCAGTTAGTAAGACCAGAGGAAGGACCAGTTAGTAAGACCAGTCAGAGGGAAGACCAGTTAGTAAGACCAGTCAGTGGGAAAACTAGTCAGAGGGAAAACCAGTTAGTAAGACCATAGGAAAGGCCAGTTAGTAAGACCAGTCAGAGGGAAGACCAGTTAGTAAGACCAGTCAGAGGGACGGACGACTAGTCAGAGGGAAGACCAGTCACCGAGAAGACCAGTCAGTAAGACCAGTCAGAGGGAAGACCAGTTAGTAAGACCAGTCAGAGGGAAGACCAATTAGTAAGACCAGTCAGTGGGAAGACCAGTTAGTAAGACCAGTCAGAGGGAAGACCAGTTAGTAAGATCAGTCAGTGGGAAGACCAGTCAATGGGAAGACCAGTTAGTAAGACCAGTCAGAGGGAAGACCAGTTAGTAAGACCAGTCAGTGGGAAGACCAGTTAGTAAGACCAGTCAGTGGGAAGACCAGTTAGTAAGACCAGTCAGTGGGAAGACCAATTAGTAAGACCAGTCAGTGGGAAGACCAGTTAGTAAGACCAGTCAATGGAAAGTCCAGATAATAAGACCAGTCAGAGGGAAAAACCAGTTAATAAGACCAGTCAGTGGGGGGGGGAGCAACATTTCTCCTTTGATTATCCACCAATCAGAAGGCTGTCACTCTTTCCCTCAGGGTATCCACCAATCAGAAGGCTGCCATTCTTTCCCTCAGGGTATCCACCAATCAGAAGGCTGTCACTCTTTCCCTCAAGGTATCCACCAATCAGAAGGCTGTCACTCTTTCCCTCAGGGTATCCACCAATCAGAATGCTGCCATTCTTTCCCTCAGGGTATCCACCAATCAGAAGGCTGCTACTCTTTCCCTCAGGGTATCCACCAATCAGAAGGCTGTCACTCTTTCCCTCAGGGTATCCACCAATCAGAAGGCTGCCATTCTTTCCCTCAGGGTATCCACCAATCAGAAGGCTGCTACTCTTTCCCTCAGGGTATCCACCAATCAGAAGGCTGCCACTCTTTCCCTCAGGGTATCCCCCAATCAGAAGGCTGCTACTCTTTCCCTCAGGGTATCCAACAATCAGGAGACTGCTCTTTCCCTCAGGGTATCCACCAATCAGAACCCTGCTACTCTTTCCCTCAGGGTATCCACCAAACAGAAGACTGCCACTCTTTCCCTCAGGGTATCCACCAATCAGGAGGCTGCTACTCTTTCCCTAAGTGTATCCACCAATCAGGAGGCTGCTACTCTTTCCCTCAGGGTATCCACCAATCAGGAGGCTGCTACTCCTTCCCTCAGGGTATCCACCAATCAGGAGGCTGCCACTCTTTCCCTCAGGGTATCCACCAATCAGAAGGCTGCCACTCTTTCCCTCAGGGTATCCCCCAATCAGAAGGCTGCTACTCTTTCCCTCAGGGTATCCAACAATCAGGAGACTGCTCTTTCCCTCAGGGTATCCACCAATCAGAACCCTGCTACTCTTTCCCTCAGGGTATCCACCAAACAGAAGACTGCCACTCTTTCCCTCAGGGTATCCACCAATCAGGAGGCTGCTACTCTTTCCCTAAGTGTATCCACCAATCAGGAGGCTGCTACTCTTTCCCTCAGGGTATCCACCAATCAGGAGGCTGCTACTCCTTCCCTCAGGGTATCCACCAATCAGGAGGCTGCCACTCTTTCCCTCAGGGTATCCACCAATCAGAAGGCTGCCACTCTTTCCCTCAGGGTATCCACCAATCAGGAGGCTGCTACTCTTTCCCTCAGGGTATCCACCAATCAGAAGGCTGCCACTCTTTCCCTCAGGGTATCCACCAATAAGAAGGCTGCTACTCTTTCCCTCAGGGTATCCACCAATCAGGAGGCTGCTACTCTTTCCCTCATGGTATCCACCAATCAGGAGGCTGCCACTCTTTCCCTCAGCGTATCCACCAATCAGAAGGCTGCTACTCTTTCCCTCAGGGTATCCACCAATCAGAAGGCTGCTACCACTTTTTCTTGGGTTTCCACCAGTCAAGGAACTCATTACATAATTTTAAAGTTTTATTAATTAGGGAACAATAAAAGTGTTGCCTTGATCCTTGACTAATGAGAAAACTCTAACCTAATCATTCTTAAGTATCCACTATTCAGAGAGAGAGAGAAGAGAGAGAGAGAGAGAGAGAGAGAGAGAGAGAGAGAGAGAGAGAGAGAGAGAGAGAGAGAGAGAGAGAGAGAGAGAGAGAGAGAGAGAGAGAGAGAGAGAGAGAGAGAGAGGAGAAGAGAGAGAGAGAGAGAGAGAGAGAGAGAGAGAGAGAGAAGCTTCCCCGATACTCACTGTGGACCGCCGTAGAAAAGATCGAAGTCCCTGAACTCCAGTCTGATGCGCTGCTCCCTGCGTCCCACGAACTTGTAGTAACAGGTGATGTTCTTGGGGTAGGCGCCTGGGTAGGTGAGGGTCATGAACTGACCGTTCTTCTTCTTCAGGTCGGAGTGGATGACGTAGCCACACAGGGTCTCCGGCACCAGGTCGCTCACCATGTACCTTGCTGATAACAAAAAGATTATTAAACCGCGAACTACTGCAGTCGGAGTCACCTTCCTCCCACTGACTTGGAAAATAGGTGGAAATTGGAAAGAATAAGTCTTATGCCCTAAAATAGCAAACATCGCACACAGACTGTTGTTGATACGCCTTAATATACAAAGACTTATAGTGGGAATTTATTCCAGGAATTAGTGTGAGATGTTATACAATAAACTATAGTGAATAGTTATTCAAGAAACTACAGTGGAATGTTGACTAAGAAGTTACAGTGGAATGTTATTCAAAGATTAAATGTTAGGTAAATGTTGTTTTAGTATCCCCGTAGCTAAAAAGACAAGCACACATTTCTGACTATTGATTAATATTACAAACAAGTGAGATATTATGGAATACGTAATTGCTTTACACGCCCTTAATAAACAACATATGAGAAAACTTTAAATGTTTTGAAAGTATTACACGAGAGAGAGAGAGAGAGAGAGAGAGAGAGAGAGAGAGAGAGAGAGAGAGGAGAGAGAGAGAGAGAGAGAGAGAGAGAGAGAGAGAGAGAGAGAGAGAGAGAGAGAGAGAGAGAGTCGTGAACTTACAGTCATTGATAAACTTGTAGGTGCCGACGAAGAGGTCAGAGGTAGTGTTGAAGAGGTCGGTATAGAAGCTGATGACTATGGTGTTGTAGAGAGAGACTCTCAGCCGGGGAGAGATCCCGCCGCAGTAGCGGCCCCCGAACGGTGTATCGAGCAGGTCCACCGAACTGGGGTCCTTGATCTCCGTATAGATGTCCAGGTACTCGTGGTTACACCTGGTCAAACAGGGTGGAACACGGGGTTAATCAACAAACATTCATGGGAAACACCAACCTTAATTACCCTCATGATTATTATTTATTGATTTATTATTCATGCTGGAGCGCTAAACCTGTAGGGAGTTATATAGTGCCTGGGAATGGGAGGTAATCAGGTTTAATACAATGCAGAGGAGGGTAGATCAGAATCCTTGGATCAAGAGCCCTTCCCCAGCATCGTGAAGAAAGGTTGGGAAGATGCGGCAGTGTAGTTTGAGCAGCACTGTAGGTGTGATGTATATAGTTGTAAATGTGATATATATAGTTGCAGATGTGATGTATATAGTTGTAGGTGTGATGTATATAGATGCAAGTGTGATGTATATAGTTGTAGCTGTGTTGTATATAGCTGCAGGTGTGATGTACATCGCTGTAGGTGTCATGTATATAGTTGCAAGTGTGGTGATGTATATAGTTACAAATGTGATGTATACAACAGCAGGTTTAATTATGGACTACTCACAGGTGTAGAAACTAGTGCCAGGTGTATGCAGTACCAGGTGTGTGTAGTACCAGGTGTGTGCAGTGCCAGGTGTGTGTAGTAGTGTAGTACCAGGTGTGTGAAGTAGTGTAGTACCAGGTGTGTGTAGTAGTGTAGTACCAGGTGTGTGAAGTAGTGTAGTACCAGGTGTGTGTAGTAGTGTAGTACCAGGTGTGTATAGTATCAGGTGTGTGAAGTGGTGTAGTACCAGGTGTGTGTAGTAGTGTAGTACCAGGTGTGTAGTACCAGGTGTGTGAAGTAGTGTAGTACCAGGTGTGTATAGTATCAGGTGTGTGAAGTGGTGTAGTACCAGGTGTGTGTAGTAGTGTAGTACCAGGTGTGTGCAGTGCCAGGTGTGTGTAGTAGTGAAGTACCAGGTGTGTGTAGTACCAGGTGTGTGAAGTAGTGTAGTACCAGGTGTGTGTAGTAGTGTAGCACCAGGTGTGTGTAGTACCAGGCGTGTGAAGTAGTGTAGTACCAGGTGTGTGTAGTAGTGTAGTACCAGGTGTGTGTAGTACCAGGTGTGTGAAGCGGTGCAGTACCAGGTGTGTGTAGTAGTGTAGTACCAGGTGTGTATAGTATCAGGTGTGTGAAGTGGTGTAGTACCAGGTGTGTGTAGTAGTGTAGTACCAGGTGTGTATATTACCAGGTGTGTGTAGTACCAGGTGTGTATAGTACAAGGTGTCTGTAGTACCAGGTGTGTATAGTACCAGGTGTGTGCAGTACCATTTGTATATAGTACCAGGTGTGTGTAGTACCAAGTGTGTGTAGTACCATTTGTGTATAGTACCAGGTGTGTGTAGTACCAGGTGTGTATAGTACAAGGTGTCTGTAGTACCAGGTGTGTATAGTACCAGGTGTGTGTAGTACCATTTGTGTATAGTACCAGGTGTGTGTAGTACCAGGTGTGTGAAGTAGTGTAGTACCAGGTGTGTATAGTATCAGGTGTGTGAAGTGGTGTAGTACCAGGTGTGTGTAGTAGTGTAGTACCAGGTGTGTGCAGTGCCAGGTGTGTGTAGTAGTGAAGTACCAGGTGTGTGTAGCACCAGGTGTGTGAAGTAGTGTAGTACCAGGTGTGTGTAGTAGTGTAGCACCAGGTGTGTGTAGTACCAGGCGTGTGAAGTAGTGTAGTACCAGGTGTGTGTAGTAGTGTAGTACCAGGTGTGTGTAGTACCAGGTGTGTGAAGTAGTGTAGTACCAGGTGTGTGTAGTAGTGTAGTACCAGGTGTGTATAGTATCAGGTGTGTGAAGCGGTGTAGTACCAGGTGTGTGTAGTAGTGTAGTACCAGGTGTGTATAGTATCAGGTGTGTGAAGTGGTGTAGTACCAGGTGTGTGTAGTAGTGTAGTACCAGGTGTGTATATTACCAGGTGTGTGTAGTACCAGGTGTGTATAGTACAAGGTGTCTGTAGTACCGGGTGTGTATAGTACCAGGTGTGTGCAGTACCATTTGTATATAGTACCAGGTGTGTGTAGTACCAGGTGTGTGTAGTACCATTTGTGTATAGTACCAGGTGTGTGTAGTACCAGGTGTGTATAGTACAAGGTGTCTGTAGTACCAGGTGTGTATAGTACCAGGTGTATGTAGTACCATTTGTGTATAGTACCAGGTGTGTGTAGTACCAGGTGAGTGTAGTAGTGTAGTATCAGGTCCGTATACTACCAGGTGTGTGTAGTAGTGTAGTATCAGGTGTGTATACTACCAGGTGTGTGTAGTACCAGGTATGTATAGTACCAGGTATGTATGGTACCAGATGTGTGTAGTGCCAGGTGTGTGTAGTACTAGGTGTGTAGTACCAGGTGTGCATAGTACCAGGTGTATGTAGTACCAGGTGTGTGTAGTACCAGGCATGTGTAGTACCAGGTGTGTATAGTACCAGGTGTGTGTAGTACCAGGTGTGTGTAATACCAGGTGTGTATAGTACCAGGTGTGTGTAGTACCAGGTGTGCATAGTACCAGGTGTATGTAGTACCAGGTGTGTAGTACCAGGTGTGTATAGTACCAGGTGTATGTAGTACCAGGTGTGTAGTACCAGGTGTGTGTAATACCAGGTGTGTGTAGTACCAGGTGTGTATAGTACCAGGTGTGCATAGCACCAGGTGTATGTAGTACCAGGAGTATGTAGTACCAGGTGTGTGCAGTACCAGGTTTGTATAGTACCAGGTGTGTGAGCCAGCAGACGTGGGAACCCACTCTAATCAGCAGACCTAAATCAAATCCTAATCAGCGGGTCCTAATTGACATATTCTAATCAGCAGACCTTATTTATAAGATCCTAATCAAGAGACCCCTAATTAAAGCTAATCAGCAGACCTTAATTAACCCTTACCAGCAGACCTTAATTAACCTTAATCAACAAACCTTAATTAACCCTAATCAGACATTAATTAACGCTAATCAGCAGACCTTAATTAACCCTAATCAGCAGACCTTAATTAACCCTGATCAGCACACATTAATTAACTCTAATCAGCAGATCTTAACCCTAACCAGCAGCCCTTAACCGTAATCCGCAGATCCTAATGAGAGCATCAGTAAGAACGCTCAATACCAGGTGCAGGCGAGGGTGAGGCAGGGGGAGAGAGTGACAATGTGTCACCCTGTGTAGAACTCTACCACGTATACAGCAACCACTGGCTACATAGCCCTCTAAAAAGAAGTAAAAAGCTTGAGCCACACCAGCACGCACACCTCACATACACGGACCAAGCACACACACACACACACACACACATAGAGGAGCCAGGAGCTGTTACTCTACCTCTGTAAGCACATATAGGTGAGCGCACATACACACACACACATAGGGGAGCCAGGAGCTGTTAATCAACTTCTGCAAGCACATACAGGTGAGCACACACACACACACATAGAGGAGCCAGGAGCTGTTACTCAACCTCTGCAAGCACACATACACACACACACACACATAGAGGAGCCAGGAGCTGTTACTCAACCTCTGCAAGCACACACATACACATACACACACACATAGAGGAGCCAGGAGCTGTTACTCAACCTCTGCAAGCACACACACACACACATAGAGGAGCCAGGAGCTGTTACTCAACCTCTGCAAGCACACACATACACATACACACACACATAGAGGAGCCAGGAGCTGTTACTCAACCTCTGCAAGCACACACATACACACACACACACACACACACACACACACACACACACACACACACACACACACACACAGTGTTATTGTACTAAAAATAAAAATGTGTACCGTTGTTTTTTATTAATTTTCAACATTACATTTTCCTTTCTTCCGTTTATGTCTTAATTACGTGTAATTATCAAGTTATCTCATATTCCCCCTTGTTTATCATGTGTTAATTCCGTTTAGTTAGAAAATCTAAGCAAAACGATTAGTATTAAATTCCATTAAAAGAGCGATCAGGATTAAATTTATTAAAGGATTAGGATTAAGTTCTGTTAAAAGAACGATTACGATTAAGTTCTATTAAACGAACGATTAGGATTAAGTTCTATTAAAATAACGATTAGGATTAAATTTATTAAAGGATTAGGATTAAGTTCTGCTAAAAGAACGATTACGATTAAGTTCTATTAAACGAACGATTAGGATTAAGGTCTATTAAAATAACGATTAGGATTAAATTTATTAAAGGATTACGATTAAGTTCTGTTAAATGAATTATTAGAATTAAGTATGTGTGTTCACTCGAAGCGGCTGAAAATTTACGAACGTTCCACTGTGTGATTCGAGAATTCCACTAAGAGCATTTCGAACGTTCCACTAAGTACTTTAAGCTTTCCGTTGCGTATTTTCGAACGATTAAATTACGAGAATTCATTTCGAACGCTGGACTGGACCATTTGAACGCGTAATTGAACGTTTCGAACGCTCGCCCTCACCGTTTTGTAATTACCGTTTCGCGTATTGGCGGAAAAGGGATCGAACACTTAAGAACACTAGCTTCCGACCTGAGCCCTGTCATACCTAGTGCTGAAGATGTGTGTGTGAAGCCTCTCTTCACTACTTCCACATTACCATATACTGTTTTTTTTCTTTTACACATACAGGGTGTTTCAAAAAGATGAACCCGGTTTGAAATCGCTGTATCTCTGCAACCACGAACCACCCATGACTTTTTCTTGTGAGGATACGTCAAAGACCGTGTTTTTACACTAATCTGGATGACCTTAGAAACAGAAACATGGCAGCGGTGACTTCACTGGAAGAGGATACATAGAGGACATCTCTTTGGAACATGTATATTCCTTTGTTTCTGGTCCTCTTACATTTCACTAGGTTAGGTTAGGTTAGGTAAGGTTAGGTTAGGTAAGGTAAGGTTAGGTTAGGTTAGGTTAGGTTAGGTTAGGTTAGGTTAGGTTAGGTAAGGTTCGCCAGGAAGCAGAAGTGTTTCCTGACGCGGGTCTTAGTCAAATGATGACCCGCCATTGGAGCTTTGGGTCATCTGACGGAGGCCTTGTGCTG